AAATTTGCAGTTTTACAATTTTATAATTATTAGTCATGTCTGATCCTTCCAAACAAAGTTCTTTGTGTTCTTTACTTGAGTTTCTTTGCGAGGTTAAGGAATTTATTACTTACTGTCATTTCAGCGCACCTTAATAAAAAATATTATTTTTATATTTGTAAATATTTGCCGTATTTAGTTTTTGCTATAAATGTCTGTTTTATTAGCAAATTCCAAGTCAATGAAACAGGAGTATTTAATCTTATTTATACCCATGCATTGTACTTGTCCAAACTTGTAAAACATTTTTAGTAATTCCTCTGCCAAGAACTCCTCCTTTGCCCTTTAACGATTTCATTAATATATGTTCTATTGATAAACCCGTCTATATTCGAAAGCAATTCTTTGAAGTGCGCCTTACTGTATGTTCTGAATATGAACTATATACTTCTGGGTGAGTGCATGCTAATTCATCCACTGATTGTACATATAAACGTAATGATTTTGTATAATTATTGTGCCCTGTCGAGGCAAGTAGTTTTAGCATACATTTTGTTGTAACAAAATGCATGCTAAAACTACATACATTTTGTTGTAACAAAATGTATGCTAAAGCTGTTGATCAAATGTCACACATGGCATTCCAAGTTTTAGCTTTTCTGATTGTATTACAATGAAACTTAACAAAGAATATAAAGCATTGAAATCAGTTGCCAGTACGTTGATTACTGGAAGCATGGATAATTTAGATATAGGTAGGACATTATTAACTTGACGACTTATGTAGGCAGCCTAACTTGGGCATTGTAATCAAAGATATACGACATGTTCCAAAGTATATCGACAAGGTTTGGCTTTAAAGTAACCTTAAATAAAAGAAAATTAAAAGTTATCATCAAAATATCATCAAAAATCTCAAAATAAATTGAAATCTGTAGAAGTTTTTATTATATTTTAAAGATGTTCATGAAATTTAAACACAAATTTTTTGAAACACTATCACTCAATCCTAGTTAAGTAAATACCTTTGTAAATTCTAGAAATTTTATTTGAGATAAAACCGAAACGTCAGAGCTGTAAAACCGAGAGATTTTAATCTGGTTGTCAAAGTTTATGTTGGACCATTAATCTTTTTTATCCCAAGGCAATCTTTTCTTATTTGAGTTCCCAATAAAACTTTGATTTGCAATTGATATAGAACCTAATCCGTGATGTGTATTTTTATCATCAATTGTCGCTAAATCATGATCTGTGTTATCCCCAACAAACTGAATAGATGTTGTACCTTCAGGGCAAAGTATATCGTTAATTTTATTGTTTCACTATGTTCTGCTTGTAACAAATGACCTGTTAAATATGTTTTGTTTTTCTTGTATTCTATATTGCTATGTGTGAAGTAAAGATTTTTAAAAAACAAATACAAGTAAAATTATCACTTAATAAACAAACCTCGTTGTAACTTGATGCAAAACCTAGTTTAGCAAGTAGAACATTTAGCCACTTGAAAGAAAACACATTATCAACAGTAACGGCTACTCCTAACTGCATTGGCATTATTGATTGTGGCCTCATTAAAAAAAATAACGCTTGAGAAGTTGACGTTTGTTTTAATGGCACAAGAATTAGTTCTCTGATAAACACCTTCAGCAATGAGGGTGTTTTCATTGTTAGTTACATCTTGTATTAAAGAATACGTTTATACATCATGGTCAATATTCTTTATACAATCACTTAATAATTTTGCTGCTGCAGTTATAACTCTGATTTTTTCGTCCTCTGCATTATTTTTTTTTCTGGTGTACCAATTTTCGCATAATATATGTCTAAATCTGTCCCACATAATTACATTAATTTTACCTTGTCGCGAGACCAATTGCATAGAATCTCCGTATTTTTCTTTTAAATTATTTTGAGTCATTTTAAGGGAATATATTTCTTCTCCTAATGTTTGCAACATTTCGTAAAACTCAGAGACTGTATAGATCAACATCTTCCTCAAGTTTTATGCATGCTACATTAAAGACAGTAAGCTTTTCTATTGACGTTGGTCTTCAACAGCTTGATGTAGAAGTAGGTTTTTCAAATTTTGCACAACAATAGATGTAATATCGTGCTTCAACAGCTACAAGATCATTTATATTCAAAAGTCAATTGTTTTAGACAAAAAGTTGTTACGTTCGTTGCATAATTCTAGAGTTGCATGATAAATTTTTGATGATTTTGTTCTTACTTCTATCAAATTATTTCTCTCAGGATGGCAACTGTCAAGTGTGCACATATTTCCAAAATAAAAATATTGCTCTTTAAAATTAAAAAAAATCTGTTCTGATCGAGTTGAACGTTTTCTTTCAATAGGAGTTTCCATCGATGCTTGTAATCGTTTAATTGATTTTGATTGGTTTCTTAATCTAGTTTGACACGATGAGTGAATAAAAACCTTTTCTTCTGTCTCTTGTTTTTCATTCAGTGCATTTACCAATACATTTAAATCTAATTTTAAAGCACATTCAATTAATTTTTCAATAGCTTCTTGGTTGACAACATCTCTTCCAAATCTTGCCCCACTTGGCTCAACGAATCTCCTTCTAATTTTATTTTACCACACAATGCACATATAGAGGATTCGATTTTTAAATCCATAACTTTTTAGTTTCAGAACTTTTTTTATTATCACTTATAAGATTAGATAATTTATATTAAAATCTGAAAATACCAAATCATTACATTATAAACACTACATTACAATTATAAACACTACATTACAATTATAAACACTAAGATAAGTAATTAATTAAAAAGTTTTTGATAAAAATTGCCAAAAAATTTCGATTACATTTCGAATATATAAAAAATTTTACATTCTAATAATTATAAAATTGTAGAACTGCAACTTTTTATTCCCTCTACCCATTTTTACTAACAGAAACACAGTTTAACAAAAATATTTGACAAAAACAAACAAAAAATCAAAAAAACTCCTCTTGCAAAATTAAAAAAAGGTCCTTTGGGGCGCCGTGGCCCCCGCGGCTCCGAGAGCCATGTTTCTAGTAACAAAAAAGTATATATATACTCAACACTTTTATATTATTTAAATATAAGTGTGATATTAGTTACAGCGCAACTTATTGTACAGCATGTTTAAAATTTATCAGCAAAGTTTAAAATTTCGTACCCCTTTGTACGTTTTGTAAGTTTAAAATTTCGTACCCCTTTGTTACCCCTTTGTGACGTCATAACATTTTTTTCCTCAATAAGAAAAATTACCAATTATTCGTTTTAAAGAGGAAAGAATAAGCTTTCCAACGATATATAACATGTCTTTATAATAACTTTTTCCAGGTTGACCCTTTTTTTGGTGAAGTTCTACAGGACTACTATTGATCATTTAAATAATGGGTTTAACGATTTTCCAACTTAAATATTTGTGGAGTTACAAGAATTGAATGCAGTAAGTAATGCAGAAATTACAACTCAGATCTTATACTGTCCTAATCGGCAAGGTTTTTTGGATTCTTGTTTATCTAACAATTTATAAAAATTTTGTAGCAGCATTGCCTCAGTTATGATTGGATCAAACAATGATGTATTTAAACAATTATAGCAGAAGTATTCTCGACTAGATAGGCGGGATTGCTTGAATCATCGTCTTGAACTGGCTTTAAGTAATGCAGTTAAAGCATTGATACTCTTTATGCTTTGTACAGCACTCAGTTTTCAAAAAGCCATAAATAGCTTTCTGTTGCGGCACTTAAAATTTGTCTTCATTGGGTGAGTTCTTATTTCGAACTGTAAAAGTTGTTTTACAAGTCGTTTTACAAATTCAAATCGTTAAATTTGCATTTCATAAATGCTTTAACTTTAAATGCTTCAACATGGGACTCAAAGCCTTGCACAGAAACTTGCAAGCGTATTATTTCATAAAAAATTGGCATTAATGTTACATTTTGTTACATGAATTTATATTATCTTCAGAACTTTTTTCAAATTCTGATTGAAAAAATGAAAAATATGGTATAAAATACAAAACTTTTAAATGGTTTACCTTTTGTTTAAATAATAGGCAACAATGTGTCATAATCGACGATATTTCTAATTTGAAGCTATTAAAAATAAAATGTGGTGTTCCACAGGGATCAATTCTTGCCCCCTTGTTATTCTTTATATACATTAACTACCTTCCTATAGCCTCTACAAACCTTGGTTGCATAATGTTTGCAGATGATGCAAATCTATTTTATTCATGTTCTTCTATTGATGACCTTTTTGATATAGTCAACCTTGTGCTTCAACAACTTAAAACATGGTTTAGTCCTAATAAGTAATCAATACACTCAAATATCTAAAAATTTTGCTTTACTTTTCAAAACTAGACCTTTTTTATCACACAAAAACTTGAAATTTTTTACTTTTCGTTTATACATAGTCATCTTACATACGCTAACATTGCTTGGGGAAGCACACACAAAATAAAATTAATATCTCTTTATTTACGGGAAAAACATGCTTCTAGAATAATACATTATAAAAACATACATACACATGCTAAACCTCTATTCAAATAAATGAAAGCGCTAAAAATATATCAAATTTATGTCTAATTTATGTCTAATTTATGCCTATGCTAATATACTATTTAAACTAATATAAGTTTAACACAAGAGCACCTGGAAACTGTCTCGTTATATTATACCCCGAAAAAAAAAAAAAACTCTCAACTTTTGGTCTGATAATTTCTCATGGTTATTTTTAACGCAACTTCTGTCTAATAGTTTCTCAGGGTATATTTTTAAACGGAGTTTCTCTCTGATAATCTCTCAGAGTTTTTTAAGTAAACTTCTGGCCT